TTGACTTGTATATGGACATTTGTTAGGCCATTGATATTAGAGGCCCGATCTTTTCTTTGATTACCCGCCTACTTTTTACCCAAATTCCCACCAAATTTTTCGCCAACGAATAATGAGAATATTATTATTTCCTCACTGATTGGTTTTTTAATAAGGAAATAATTTCTCGCAAAACAAAATCTTTTAGCGAGGAAGCCTTAAATTTGTCGCCATTGAATTTGGCAGGTTTTGCACATTTTTCCGCCAAACTAATAATGAGTAAACTATTATTTTCTTACTAATTGATTCTTTTAACGAGGAAAGGGTTCCTCGTAAAACAAAAAAAAAATTAGTGAGGAAACCTTCAATTTGTCGTCAATGAATTTGGCGGGTGTTGCACATTTTTCTGCCAAATTAATAATGAGGAAACTATAATTTCCTCGCTAATAGGTTCTTTTTGACGACAAAACGGTTCCTCGTAAAACAAAAACTTTTAGCGAGGAAGCCTTAAATTTGTTGCTATTGAAATTGGCGGGCTTTGCACATTTTTCCGCCAAACTAATAATGAGGAAACCATTATTTCCTCGCTAATTGATTTTTTTAACGAGGAAACAGTTCCTCGTAAAACAAAAATTTTAGCGAGGAAACCTTTAATTTGTCGTCAATGAATTTGGTTAGTGTTGCAAATTTTTTCGCCAAATTAATAGTGAGGAAACTATAATTTCCTCGCTAATAGGTTCTTTTTGACGACAAAACGGTTCCTCGTAAAACAAAAACTTTTAGCGAGGAAGCCTTAAATTTGTTGCTATTGAAATTGGCGGGCTTTGCACATTTTTCCGCCAAACTAATAATGAGGAAACCATTATTTCCTCGCTAATTGATTTTTTTAACGAGGAAACAGTTCCTCGTAAAACAAAAATTTTAGCGAGGAAACCTTTAATTTGTCGTCAATGAATTTGGTTAGTGTTGCAAATTTTTTCGCCAAATTAATAGTGAGGAAACTATAATTTCCTCGCTAATAGGTTCATTTTAACGATGAACAATTCCTCGTAAAAATAAAAAACTTTTAGCGAGGAAGCCTTAAATTTGTCACCATTGAAATTAGCGGGTTTTTTTGTCCCGCCAAACTAATAATGAGGAAACTATTATTTCCTCGCTAATTGATTCTTTTGATGAGGAAATGGTTCCTACCGTTTCCTCGCAGATTATGGATCTTCAGCGAGGAAATCATACTTTGTCGTTGTTACATTTGGTGGGTTTTTCTCTATTTTCCGCCAAAAGAACAACGATGAAATAATTATTTCCTCGTTAAATGTGCATTTCACGATAAAAAAGTTCATCACCAAAATCTCATATTTCCTCGCAAATAAAATAACTAGTTAGGAGACCAAATCATGATCATCTTTAGTGAGGAACTAAACTTTTTATCGTAGAAGGTAGTCTAATGTGAGGAAAATATATTCCTCGTAAAAGACCTACTGATATTTATCGAGGAAACAATATTTTCCTCGTTGAAAGTGATATTTGTTGAGGAAAATAATTTTCTCGCAAAAAAGTTAGTCGCTAAAAGACCTGTCTGTTGTAGTGACGTTGACCGGGGTTGACATGGTTTATACTCATACGTCAACTGGAGTTCACTCAGTTTAGGCTCTTAAGGAATTGGAGCGGGGAGAATCAATTTATACTCATGTACTCATCGGAGTGTGCATACGAGTTTCAAATACATCGGAATGGGTGAGCTGATAATGGGCCAAAACCCCATTGCGGAAATACCGAGCCTTTCCCTAACATGCGAGAGGGAAGAGAAAAACAAGGAGTCAACTTGATGAACCGATTCAGGATCGGTTCAAAACTTGATTGAAGACTAATTTGAGGCTTGGTTCAGGCCTTGCGTTCAAGAGCGGTTCAAAGGCTTGATTCAAGGCCGCTTCGTGGTGCCGTTCATAGGCTGGTTCGGGTTGGATAAAACTCCCCAAAATCCGGTTTAGAACTAGTGTGAGTCGATTTAGACCGGTCCGGTTCGGCTCTATTCCCTTTTTTTTTTCTTTTTTTTTTCTCTCTTTGCGACCGGTTCTCTTTCTCCTCAAAAGAGAACCGGTTCCCCCCTTCTCCCCTTTCCTCATAACCTCCTCCTCTCTTCCCCCAAAGTCTTCCCCAAACTTTGAGAATCCTTCCTCTACTGAAACTCTCCCCCAAACCTCCATAAAGAAGATCTCCAAACCTCTCCTCTCTATCTCCTTGATCTTGGCCGAACCCAAGGCTAGGGTTTGTTTTTTTGGGTTCATCTCTTTGGGTTGGAATTCCTTCTTCAAGCTTGGAACTTGGGTAAGCTTCTCTTCTCCCCTTTTTCTTGTGCTTGAATTTGGTCAAAGTGAGTAATTTGAATGCTTGATCTTGGTTTTGGGGAAAGATTGAAACTTTTGTAAGGGGTTTGTATGATGGCCGAATTTTTTAGCATGAAATTGATGGGTTATGATGAAAAACTTTGAACTTTGAGGATGGGGTGAGTAAAGGCTGAATTTTGGAGGGGTTTTATTGCAAAAAAAGCCAATATTTTAGGGGGTTTATTGTGAAAAAGCGGGCTGAAATTTTGGGGGTTTATTTGCAAAATGGCCAATTTTTTTTTGGATGGGTTTATTTGTAAAAGTTGGCCGAATATTTGGGGGTTTAAATGCAAATATGGCTGAAAATTTGAGAAGGGGGTTTAAACGCAAATATGGCCGAAAATTTGAAAATGGGGTTTGATGTGGTTTCCATCCTTCATTGTAGTCAAACTTGAACTTGAATCTATGGCCGAAAGAATTTATGTGGGTTTTGGGGTATTTTGGGTATTTTGGCCAAAATTTGATTACGAGGGGTTTGGATGAAAATCAAACCCATCATTGGCTCATATGAATCCCGTAGGTTTAATTAGACCTTCACCGTAGGATTTTGGTTAAGATTCATAATTTTACTTTTTATTTCGGGTCCTTGAATTCATAATTGCTTCTGATCCGCTGATTTTATTACAGATTACAGACTAGCCATGTCGCCGAAGAGATCACGTATTTCAAGAAGCCGGTCTACCACTCAGTCTCGTGAGGTTGAACCTTCTTTATTTGAAGGTAAAATTTTTACCATCTTGCTTGTGAATTCAACATTAGCATATTATATTGTATATTGCATATTGCATCCCCTCTTTGTTCTCCTTAGTGAGGCAATTGGGAAGAGCCGTCATCCTTCATCGTGAGGGTGAACGCTTTAAAAGATGCGTTTTGCTTGGTCAAAATGCGTCTTAAGATGATGACGGATTATTTCACGCAGTATTATCGCCAGGTAAGTTTTTACTACTTTTGTTCGTGAATTTATGATTAATATGTTGCACACTGTATCTCCATTTTGTTCTCCTTGGTGAGGCAATTGGGAAAAGCCGACATTCTCCTTCGTGAGGGTGAACGCTTTAAAAGACGTGTTTTGCTTGGTCAAAATGTGTCTTAAGGCAATGAGGGGTGATTCTATGTTGTATTGTACTTCGTGGGATGAAGCATATTATCATGTTATTTGTGCGATGATATAAATTCTCCCTAGTGCGTGTGATACAGTTGGAATCGTCTCGCCAAGTATGGGACAACGACTCTATCTTATAGTTTTACAAGACCGTACTTACGTCTTATTCCTTTCAGTCAAATTTTCTTCCGATACCTTCTCGACTCGGGCAGTAGAAGGCCATAGAGGAGAGTGTTACGCCACATCCGATGACTCCACACCGATCCCGATTACCCTTTAGTTTGCTCCAGGTGTGCCTGAGGGACTCTATCAGCTAATACAAAAGGGGAATCATCAACTTTTACGATAGTTAATTACTGACGCGCCCTTTGTGCCGGATCCTATTTCTACTTAGCATTTGAGGAAGCCATATTATTTATTTGGTAACTCTGCTGAAGACCCAGCTACTGTATCCATCCCAACTGAGCGGTAGTTACATAAAGATGATGGAGGCCCTCTATATCTCCCTTCAATTCTTCGTCATCGTTCATTGACCGAATTACGGTGTTAGGTTATGACACGGGAGATGTCATAGAGCCTGACAGAGGAGCATTATCACGTCCATTGCGGATATATAACTCATCATGCGACTCTGAGTTCGAGTCATAGGAATCACATTACTGGACTACATCCCGGGGTGTTGGGATTGAATGAACCGCCACGGGGTGAATTGTTTGCGGTTGCCAACACTTTGAAGAACCGTCTCACAAGGTTGGGACGAGAGATGCCTCCATCAAATCATTAATGTTATGGTTGGATTCACTCCTCGGACAAGCTTTGGTGGAGTCGTATGACCAATTATGTTATCAACCGATGGAGTGAGGAGCTGAAAGCCAGCGGTATATATGAGGCTGTTCGTGCTAGGATGTATGGTTTGCAGATCAGTGGCTACCATTTCCTTGTGTTATTGGAGCTTAACAATCCAGATTCGAACACTTTCTTGACCAAACACTTAGAGCTAGGGTTGGCTCTTCATGAGATGCACAAGATCTCTGGCCTGCCGATGGGGGACATGCCATACCAGAAATACTTTCCTTTCAATCGGGAGTTGGATCAGCTAGAGGTGAAAATGCCCGATCGTTATAATACTCTATGGGATCTCACTTGTCATTATTACATAGCCTTAGCATGTGCTGACCCATTGGCAAAGAGGACGCATCCGCAGGTAAGCTTGAAACAGTTCGCAGACTACTTGTTTAAATATTTGGATATCAATTATGGTGAAGCAATCTGTGAGTTGATGTCGTTAACTCCCTTAGAGTTTAATGAGCTGATTAAGAAATCCAATGCTCAATCTTATACTATTGCTGGTGTTGAGGGCAAGTTTCCTACAGGAACGAAGTTTGAAACTTATCTATGGCAGGCAGTAAAGCCGATTCAGCCTATGACTCTCTTAGCCGGATATCTTGCACTCTGGCTAAATAAATGCGTGGTACCCTACCAGTCTAATGCTACCTTGCCGATCGAAATACTTTATCTGATAGTTCAACTTACGTATAAGAAGAATTTGTCCCTTCTTTCGGCAATGGTTGCCGATATTCATCGTGGACTTCGGCACATGATAAGTGTTTTTACACAGAGAGATGATAAACCAATGACTCAGAACCCTGTTGCTAAGGTGGAGTTTCCTTATGCTTATCTTATGGCTTAGCTAGTTCTCCACTGTTCAGATATGATGTCAGCGCCGAGTGTTGTAGATCATTCCATTCCTTTCCTACAATTGATGGAGAATGGCAGATGGAAAGGGCAGGGATTCTTTGATATAAAGAGGCGACTGCAGGAATATAAATGTTGGGTCTTCTCTACATGTTTCCCACTATTTTCTGGTCAGTATGACAATATCTAGTCTTGTACAAATAATAGCAAACATTAAATTTCTCACTGCTGATGCATACGATACTCGAGACATCTTCATCCTCTCTTCTTCACTGTTAGGACTCATACTAGAGGATAACTTATAATTAACAAGAAGTGGGGTAGAAATTGACTTACAATCATGCATGTTAAAGCGCCGTAAGATTTTCTTCAAATAATTCTTCTAAGAAAACCAAATCTTCCTATTAATTTTGTCTCGGTAAATTTGCATCCCTAGAATCTTATTTGCATATTCTGAATCTTTCATTTCAAATTCTCTAGCCAACTATGCCTTTAATTCTTTGATACGATCTTTGTTAAGGGCTGCACCAACATGACGTCAACATACAACAATAAGACAACAAAGTTATTTTCACCAAATCTCTTGAAATATGCACAAAGGTTTGAATTTAGTCTGTTGTATTCAAGGCTCATGGAGAATGAATCAAATCTCTTGTACCAACACCTCGGCGTCTGCTTTAGACCATACAAAGATTTATTCAATCTGCAAACTAAGTTCTTTTTTTCTTTTTCTTCAAAACCTACTGGTTAGAGGATGTAAATTTCTTCTTCAATATCTCCATGAAGAAATGTTATTTTTACATCTAGCTACTCTAGATGTAAGTCAAATATAGCGCTCATAGCCAGGACTATTCGTACTGTTGTAAGTGGAACTACATGAGAAAATATTTTATTAAAATCAATACCTTCTTTTTGAGCATATCCTTTTACCACCAATCTAGCACGATATCACTTCACTTGATCATCGCCATTTCGCTTGATCTTATAGACTCATTTATTTACAATGGTCTTTCTTCTTTATGGTAGCGACACAAGTACCAAGTCTTATTCTTATGGAGAGCTTCAATTTCTTCCTGCATTTCTGTCATCCACAACGGGTGTATCTGTGCTATTTATAGCTTCATGAAAAGTTGATGGCTCTTGATCCTCTGTTAGAAGACAGTATGCCACATTACTCTCCGTAATATACTCTGAGTGCCAAGTTGGTGGTTGTAAGCATCAAAAATTGCCTATAGGTTCCCGAACATAGCTCGAGACGACGAACCGTCAGACGACGTGGCGACGAGCCATCGAACGTCGAGTCATCAAGCGACATGGCGACAAAGCAACAGAATGCATGAAGCGAATCAGCGAAACAAACGAGTCAACGAAACGATGAAATGCGCAAAACAATGGAACAAAACCAACCTGCAAGCTCGGAAAAGCCCCTGGCGGCCGAGCCGCATCAAAATGGGCTCGGCCAGGCGCATGTTGGCTTGCCAGGGCCGAGACAGAGACCAATCTGGCTCGGCGAGGGCCGAGTTAGGCCAGCCTGGCTCGGCCAAGGGCCGAGCCAAGCCGAGCCAGCCCCAGGCTAGGCTGTCGCACGCCGAAGTAGTCTTGGAGCTGATTTTTTTGTTGGTTTTTCAGTTTTTATTGCATTCCAACCGCCTCTCAACTGATTCGAACGTAATTTAACTAAATATAAAAGAGAATCGGTCGTTCTTATCCGAAAACAAAGCTTCTGAAGCCCTATAAATACAAGCATAAGGCCCCCATTCTTTAGATCAGAAATTGATAGATGGGCCTATCATATCCAAAGTATTCCAGCATCCTCTATAAAAGAATACAACTGAAACATTTTGGAGGGGGTATCTGTAGGTGTCAAAAATTGCCTATAGGTTATCGAACACAGCTCGAGGCGACGAAACGTCAAACGATGTGGTGACGAGCCGTTGAATCGTCAGGTGACGTGGCGACGAGCCGTCGGAACAACAAAGTCGCAAACCGTTAGACGACGTAGCGACGAGCCATCGAACGTCGAGTCATCAGGCGATGTGGCGACAAAGCAACGAAACACATGAAGTGAATCGGTGAAACAAACGAGTCAACAGAATGATGAAATGCGGAAAACGGCAGAACAAAACCAACCCGAAAGCCCGGAAAAGCCCCTGGCGGCCGAGCCGCATCAAAAAGGCTCGACCAGGCCAGGTTGATTCGGCAGGTCGAGCCGAGACCAATGCTGGCTCGACCTGGGCCAAGGTAGGCTAGCATGGCGTCGGCCATTGTGGCGAGCTGGCTCAGCCAGGTCTAGCTAGCCCAGGCCGGCCTCAGCTAGGTGCTTCAGCAGCACGCTAGGCCGGCGTCCGCACCCAGGCACTCCCAGCAGCTGTTTTTAAATGGTTTTTCACTTTTGATTGCATTCCAACTGCCTCTCAACTGATTTGAACGTGATTTAACTAAAGATAAGAGAGAATCGGTCGTTCTTATCCGAAAACAAAGCTTCTAAAGCCCTATAAATACAAGCCTAGGGTCCCCATTCTCCAGATTGAAAATTTTGACGAAAACGGCGAGGTGCTATCGAATTGCAGAGCAAGGAGCACGAATTTCAGAGAAGGGCTAGCTCGATCCTCGAACTCCGACATAAAGAAGGTGTCATTCGAAGGATCTGATGCCCCGTTCCCCCATTCCTCCGGATCAAAATTTGGTTTTCATCCCGAGAAGAGTTGTAATCTCACTTGGTCGAGATTATCACTTCTGTAATTGTTTTCTTTGTGAATCAAGAGCACAAACTTTTCAGTCCAATCCGTCGGATCTGATCCGTGATGGTCCACGGATATTGACGTCCCCGACACATGCAAAGATCCCACGCAAACAACAGGCGATAAACGACTGTTCTGTGTTATTTGAAGAAAGTTGTAATCTTTTATTTTTTTCATTGTGTAAGAAGATCTTATAAAAAGATTAACTTTTACTTTTGTTAGATTTAGTATAACGACTTAAGTTGTAATAGATTCAATGACAATGAAAAATGCAACTTTCAACCCAAACAGTGGTCTTCACTCACCAGTTGACCTTCGAACTTCTGGAGCCTCGGACTCAACAGGTTCTTGTACATCATGCTTCGGCATTGCATCAGAAAATTTTGGATCATTTTCTATCTGAACAGCTACAGTTTCTGAGTCATTCCTTGAACTGCTTTCTTTATCTTCACTTTGTAGTTGGTTCTCTACAATGATAAGATCTCTACTGATGATAACCTTGTGGGTAGGGGTGTTAACGGAGCGGATACGGCTCGGATATGGCACTTACCATATCTATGTCCGCTTATCCATCTCGGATACGGATACAGATACGAATATATGTCGGTAAGAAAAATTCATATCCATATCCACCAAAATCGGATACGGTTTCGGATATAGATGCGGATATATAAACGGATATCCATGCAGATACAAAAAAGATATGAAAAAACTAGATAGTATTCAGAAAAATATAGTCATGTGATAAGAGTTCGTTAATATGTTCATTATGATTGAAAATGTAAGATTAGACATCTTAATCATCAAAATTAACCATAAATTCATAATCTAAGAATTGAAACTATCGTAAGAGTATAACCACTATGTATTTAGATATTTTCGAATACAGATACAGATATTTCACTACAAAACCATATTCTATCGGTTATAGATTTGAGTAACCATATCCGTATCCTAACAGATACAGTTACAGATATTTCCTCGGATACGGATACGGTTTAACACCCCTACTTGCGGGTAGTGGGATCCCACAAGCGATACCTCTTTACTCAATCAGCATATACTAAGAATATGCATTTTTAGGATTTTAAATCCAGTTTTGTAATTTTTTGGGCGTTGTACATTATGTACAATGGACTTCCAAATATATGAAGGTTGAAATAATCAGCTAGCTTGCCGGTCCACATCTCCATTGGAGTCTTTAACTATATTGCAACTAATGGAGATTGATTCACTACATAACAGGTGATTTTTACTGCTTCCGCCAAAACGACTTTATCTAGATTTGTAGTTGCCAACATTGCTCTTGTTCTTTCCAATAGAATTCTATTTATCCGCTTCGTCACTCCATTTTGTTAAGGAGTATATGCTGTACTAAATTGTCTTTTGATGCTTTCTTGCTTGCAGAATATAATAAATTCACCATCTGTGTATTCTCCTCCATTATTTTATTTTAAACAATTGATCTTCTTTTCAAATTCAAACTCAACTCGCGCTTTGTTGCCTTTAAAGATTAAGAAAACATCTGCCTTCTTCTTGATAGGATACACCCAACATCTCCTGGAGTAATCATCAATAAAGAAGACAAAGTACTTTGCTTCTCTCATGAATGTAACTGGTGCTTGCCATACATCAGAGTAAACCGGTTCGAGAATAGCCTTGTTTTTAGAGCTTGATGTGTTGAACTTCAACCGATACGGCTTACTTGTAACACAATGCTCGCAGAATGGAAGAGCTACTGAATTAAGTCCAGGAAGCAACTTCTGATCGGAGAGAATTTTCAAGCCTCGTTCTGACATGTGGCCTAGTTTGCGATGCCACATCATGGCTTATTCTTCTCCATGACTAGTTGATGCCACACATGAATCAGCTTCCTACAGGGTCCCTCGCTTGAGCATGTATAGATTTACAGCTATCTTTTCTCCTTTTATCATAACAAGTGTCCCTTTAACAATCTTCATAACCCCATTTTCTATATGGGTCTTACACCCGAGCTCATCTAATTGTCCTAAAGACAATAGATTTTTCTTCAAGCCCTTCACATATTGCACATCATGAATGATGTGTATTATACCATCAAACATTTTGATTTTGATAGTGTCAATACCAGAAATCTCTAAGTAATGATTTTGCCTATAAATACAGATCCTCCTGAGATAGGTTCATACTTGTGAAACCATTCTTTCCGGGAGGTCATGTGCCAGGAGGTTGTTGAATCTAGAAGCTAAACATCAGCAAACCTCTTTTTACCTTCATCAACAGTGGTTGCTCCACTATATAAAATTTCACCATCATCTGATGTACTCACAACGTATCCTTGAGATGTTGACGGCTCTGAAAACTTTTTATCATCACTCTTCTTATTGTGTCAACACTCCAATTTCACATGCCCTTTTTTGCCATTGTTGTAGTATTTGATGTTCTTACATTTTGATTGTGATCTACCATGAGTATGACTCCCACTGGAGCCACGTTTCGTTGATCTTCCTCTCGTCACCGATAAGGCCTCCGCTTGTTGCCAACTTGCCTGCCTGTCTTCTTTGTTCTTGCGCCGATTTTCTTTCTCCAGAATAGTGGCTGTAACATCGTTGAAGACTAGATTATCCATGAGGACGTTATTTGTTAGGTTGATGATGAGCTGATCATACGAGTCGGTTAGACTCTGAAATAAAAGTTCTGCACGTTCATTTATACTGATTGCATGCCACAACATTGTGAGTTGGGAGAATAGTGTGTTTAGAGTGTTGATATGGTCGGTCATTGATGTAAATTCTGTCATCCTCAGATTGTAAAGTCTCTTTTTTAAAAAGATTTTGTTGTGTAGAGATTTTACCTCATATAGCTTTGTTAGAGTATCCTAGATCTCCTTTATTGTCTTCTTCTCCTCTAAGCTTGACAGCACCCCAACTGCTAATGCCAGATGGAGATTTGCAATAGCATTTTCGTCTATCTCGTTCCACTTATCATCATCTGTGATATCATCTGGCCTTGCATCGATGGTTGCTAGGTAATTATCTTTTCTCAAGAAAGCCTTTATCCTCAACTTCCATAGTGAGAAATTACTCACATTGAATTTCTCGATCTTGAACTTTGCCGCTATTGCTTCTACTATGAACAATAATTTTTCTACAATTTCACATAAATAGTAACTATATTTGTGAACAGTAACCGTATTTGTGAATAGTATTGTACTTGTGAATAGTATCGTATTTATAAACAGTACCATACTCATAAATAGTACTCGTCGTCTCCAAAAGGTAAATGATAATCTAACTTATTTTTTGATATGAATGATCCATCTTTGGTGGCAGCCACATAGCATACGATAAGTAGATACACACACCCTAAGCCAGACTCTGATACCATTTGTTGGGACAAACAAAGGGGCTAATAGAGCAGGATCTCAAGAAATAGTAGAGATAAAAAGAATACATAGATTTATGTGGAAAACCCCTTAAATAAATTTGAGTTAAAAACCATGAGCAATGATAGAAGAATGCACGATGAGGAAAAACTTAGGAGTGACAATCTCTCTTTTATAAGGAGAAACTCTCTCTAAGTTGTTTCTGGAATGATCAGAACTTAACGTCAGGGAGAACTTTTTATAGGTGAGTTTGTGATAGAAGAGCACTGTTGCACGGTGTTTGTTACAGTAACATTTAGCGTGTTTGCGGTAGGTGGTTACTGTAACGATTAGTGGTTACTGTACATACAGTGGCTGCTCAACTTTTCAACACAAGCAACATCCATGCATTCCTATTGAAACTTTTTTGTTGCTCTCATGCTCAGCCAGCTAAATAAAATTGAATGAAATTTCCAACAATTATACATGTATTAAGAGCATTATTGACAAGACAACTTTTGAGGTAAAATTCCTCAAAAGAAATACAATGATAAAATTAGGGAAGGTTGTTTTCTTCAGTTTTTAATTTAATAAAATCACATTCAAATTTCATAAAGATTGATTGTCTGCCTTCTTGAAGCAAGAGTTTGAATCCTCATTCATGCAAATCTTCTGTGATATCCTTGTTTGCTATTGCTAAAAGCTTGCCTCCTCTGTTGTTGGCCTCTTCAAAAAGTACCGCGTACTACCTAGAGCCTGCATAATCAATAACAAATAATTTAACAATTTAGTCACATTATAATTGCATAACTTGATATTGATGGTCTGCAGCTTTTCAAGAAGGTTTACCTGTTCTAGAGGCTTGACAATGTTTTTGAAAAAGGTCGAGAGAAAGGAGGAATTTGTGAGAATGTTTTTGGGTGGAGAGCTAAGACGAGGAGACTTTGTAAGATATGACTTGCCTCCTACACATCATTTGCTATACTTGATTGGAGTTTTTTAATGAAGTTTTGGTAGTTATCCTATGTGGTTTACTTTTTGATGCAGTGATGATTTTCTATACCGGTGATAAGTACTGAGAAAAGTTCATAGTTGCATTCTTCTATCTTTTATTTTCGTGATTGTTATTTAGGTTGTGTCTGTGGAGAAAACTCAGAAAAAGCAATTTTGGTGTCATAAGTCGACTCATGCATAGGCATAAGTCGACTTGTGTCTGTGCATGAGTCGACTTACGTTCTTCTCTGGAGTTGTTGGTTTCGCGCTCTGTCAAGTCGACTTATCAGGCCTGATAAATCGACTTACGATCTGTTCTCTAGTTCCTGGTTTCATACTCTACCAAGTCGACTTATCAAGCCTGATAACTCGACTTACGACGGATATTTTGCACATGTTAGTTTCCTGTTTGGATTCTGTTTGGTTTCTGTTTTGATATAAATAGGAACACGTTTTTCTAGGGTAGAGAGAGCGTTTTAAGCAAAGAATTAGCAGTCTTTTGACAAGTGTGAGAGGGAGATATTATGAGCAAGTTGAGAGATTTGGTTGAGGGTTTATTTGTGTGATTTTGTGAGATTGTAACCCTTTGTACTCTCTTTGATTTAATGGAAGCTCCCCATCCTCTCCCCGTGGACGTAGGCAAATTGCCGAACCACGTATATCTCTGTATTTGCGATTGGTTTGTCATTATTTGCTTGGATTGTGCTCTTGCTTGGTTTGGTATATCTTCTCTCGTGCTTACGACTCATTTGGTGTGCAAGCACGCTTTCGCAAAAGCGCGCGACAAGTGGTATCAGAGTTCAGATTTGAGATCTAGGGTTTTGGCATTAGGTGGAGAAAGATTCGTCGTGGAAGGTTGGTTCTTGGAGTTTTAGGCTTCGGTGGAGATAGTGTTTGGGGTTGCCGTTGAAGATTTCGTTTTCCTTGTGTGTTTAGGAGATCTATTTGGAATCCGTTCTAGGGTTCAGTTGGGTAACTTCTAAATTCTATCAAGTTTGAATTTTTCTCTACAATTTGGAGTTTGTGAGTATAGGAGAAGAAGTTGGTGAAAGCAGCAAGGTGATTGCGGGTACAGTTCAAGTTGGGTTTTAGAACACCAAGATCAGTGTGGTGAAATATAACGGTAATATCAATTTTGGTTTGTGGACAAGCGATGTTCATGATACGCTCAATGCTCAGAATTTAGAGGAGACTATCATGGTCCATGAGAAGCCACCAAAATATGAAGAGGCGATATGAGAAAAGATGAATAAAAACGCTTGCGAGGTGATCAGGTCCTATTTAGAATAGGAGTTGAAGTATGATGTGATTGGAGTGACGTTTACAATGAAGATGTGAGAAATTCTCAACAACAAATATTTTACGAAGAGTGTTGAGAACTGTTTATACTTGCTTTAATGACTCTTCAGATTTCAGATGTCTAGAGGCACCTTGCTTGCGACACATGTGAACAACTCGGACTTGGCGAATGTGGATGAGAAGATATCGAATGAGTACAATGCGATTATTTTGTTGAGATCATTACCAGATGAGGAGTATGATACATTTGTGCTCACTTTGTTGAACGGGCGATCTTCCATCACCTACAGTGAAGTTACTAACACTTTGACGAACTATGGTTTGAGGAGGAAGGATAAAAAAACTTCCCGCGCTAGTACTTTAGGAGAAGTCTTGTCGACGAGAGGTAGAAGCCCATATCCAAAAGTTGGTAATAAGAATAGGTCAAAGTCTAGAGGTCGTCACCAAATTATTGAAGAATCAGTGTGCATTTTGCAAGGAGCAATGATATTGGAAGAGAGACTGTCCAAAGATCAAGGAGAAGGAGAATGGCAAGAAGAAGGGCCCAAAGGCCAATGAGGTGAACGTCGCGAGTGGTGATGATTCTGACGATTCGTGTTTTTCTCAACTGATTACTCCGGAGGTGAATTATGTGGATGCATCGGTTTGGATGCTAGATTCCGACGCTACTTATGATGTGACTCCTAGGCGAGATTAGTTTGTATCTTTTGAAAGACTCGATGAGGGTGTTGTCATGGTAAATGATCAATTCTGTGGTATTTGTGGGATAAGTACCGTGCGGAGTCGGATGCACGATGGAGTAGTTCAGAAATTGAATGAAGTAAGATTCGTTCATTAACTGAAGAAGAATATTATTTCAGTTGGAGCTTTGGAGGCGAAGGGATTCAAGGTGACATTTGAGAATGCTGTAATAAAGGTTACTAAGGGATCTTTGGTGGCTTCAGCTATTTCAGAGGCGGACATAAGCAGACTTTGACATTACAGGTTAGGGCACACAGGAGAGAAGACACTGCAGGCGCTGTGCAAGCAGAGGCTATTGAAGGGAGCAAAGAGTGGAAATGTTGAATTCTGTGAGCAGTGTGTTCTTGGCAAATAAACGAAGATGAAGTTCGGGACAATCATTCATAGGACGATGGGTATCTTAGACTACATACACACGGATGTTTAGGGTCTCACCAAGACGACATCACTTGGTGGTCGATATTGGTTCGTCATAATTGTTGATGACTATTTTAGGCGTTATTAAGTGTACATCATGAAACATAAAAATGAATTCCTAGATTTATTTGTGGAGTGAAAGAAGAAGTTAGAACTGCAGACTGGGAGAAAGATCAATACGTTGCGATCCGACAACGGCGGCGAGTATACTTCAGACTCCTTTTAGCAGCTATGTCGAGACGAGAGTATAGAGAGGCACTTCATAGTTAGTCATACACCACAGCAGAATGGGGTGGCAGAGAGGATGAATCGGTCTTTGCTGGAGAAGGTCCAATGTTTATTGTCGCAGAGTGGTTTAGAGAAGATTTTTTAGGCTGTAGCACTTTTATATGTGAACCACCTCATTAGTAGGCTACATTCATCTGCGATTGAGGGGAAGACCCCTATGGAGATATGGTCGGGAGAGCTAGCACATGACTATGACCAGCTCAAGGTATTTGGGTACCCTGCATATTATCATGTGAAAATAGATAAACTAAAACCTCGGGCTAGAAAGGCCATATTTGTATGATTCAAGCGTGGTGTCAAGGGATACAAATTTTGGGATCCAGTTGATAGGAAGATTGTGCTGAGTAGGGACGTCACATTCGATGAAGCTTCTATCTTGAAGCTTCCCAACTCTCATCAGGTGAAGAGCGATCCGACGGAGGAGATATCACAGGTGGTGGAGATCGTTGCAGTTCCATATTGTCCAGATGATACTGTATTCATTAGAGTGTCGACTGAGGTAACGCCAAGCGAGCACGACAACAACGATGAGGATATGAGTACAAATGTGCAGGATCAGGGACTGACGGCTTAGGTTCAAGATTTCATTACAGTTCGGAGACAGAGGAGAGACATATGGAGGCCAACACGATATACCGACACAATAGTTGTGTATGCACTTTCGGTGGAGAGTGTCGATGAGTTGGTGCCCACTACATTCAGAGAGGCCGAGCAAAGTTCAGAGGTTGATTTTTGGTAGGCAGCTATGTAGGAGGAGATGGAGTCTCTTCATAGGAATGACACATGGGAGCTTGTCGAGTTTCTAAGAGGGCGGAAGGCGATTGGTTGCAAGTGGGTATACATGAAGAAGGAGGGCATTGAAGGCAATCCAGTGAGGTTCAAAGCTAGATTGGTTGCGAAGTGCTATGCATAGGAGGAATGTATTGATTATATTCAGGTTTTCTCTCCAGTGGTAAAGTATTCATCGATTCGGATATTGTTAGCTTTGGTGGCACAGTATGGTTTGAATTTTGATCAGTTGGATGTGAAGACAACATTTCTTTATGGTGATCTTGATGAAGAGATATATATGACTCAATCATTGGGATTTCGGGCTGTAGGGGAAGGAAAAATTGGTTTGTAGGTTGAAAAAATCGCTATACGGTTTGAAGAAATCTCCTCGACAGTGGTATAATCGATTCGACGGTTTTATGATGGCCATTCATACATTCGGAGCCAGTTTGACCCTTGCATGTACTATCACAAGTTGAAGGGAGATGCGTACATTTATTTATTGCTTTATGTCGATGACATGTTGATTGCTTCTAGTTATAGGTCCGCTATAGATGAGTTAAAGTTACAGCTTTCAAAGGAGTTTGAGATGAAGGATTTGGGAGAAGCAAAGCGCATTTTGGGGATGGAGATCGACTGAGATAAAGAGAAGGGCAGAATTTGTTTGACACAGGTGGCTTATTTAAAGAAGGTTCTACAGTGATTTCATGTGAGCATAGATACGAAGCCAGTCAGTGTACCTTTGGGAGCCCATTTCAAGCTTTCAGCTGACATTTGACCGAAGACAGTTGATCAAAAGTTGATGTCAAAGACTCCATATGCGAACGTAGTTGGGAGCTTGATATACGTGATGGTTTGTACGAGACCAGATTTGTCACAGGCGGTGAGCATGGTTTCGAGATACATGCATGATCCAGGTGTGGGTCATTGGAACGTCGTGAGATGGATTTTAGGATACATTAGAGGTACTCTCAATATTGGCGTAGTTTTCGAGCGTGACACTAGAGGTGGGCAGCTGTACATTGGCTATGTTAATTCGAATTATGCTGGTGATTTGGATAAGCGTCGGTCTACAACGGGGTATGTGTTCACTTTGACCCGTGCACCGGTGTGTTGGAGATGTAGCTTATAGTCTAAAAGGTGGATTTGTCGACGATCGAGGTAGATTATATGGCAATTACAGAGGCTGTGAATGAGGCTATTTGGCTTCGAGGACTTTTGGAGGAACTTGGTATATCGTAGCGGTCCGTCACTATTTATTGTGATAGCATGAGTGCTATTTATTTAGCGAAGAATCAGGTTTTTCATGCGAGGACGAAGCACATTGACGTTCGTTATCACTTCATTCGGAATGTTCTTGAAGATTACGATGTGGAGATTGTGAAGGTCTATACGAAGGATAATCTGGAGGATATGCTCACTAAGGTGGTTCCAAGCAACAAGTTTGATTATTGTCAAAACTTGTTGCACATTCGTGATTGTTGAGGCCGTTGACGGCTATTTAGATGAACTACGAGCGGTTTGATCCCTTGGGAGAGGGGTTTCGTAAGCAGTCAATTTGATGCAGCCGGTTTGATGTGTGGATACCGACATTTGGAGATTATTCATATTCTCATTTGGGTTCTCGACTTGTTATGGATTGAGTTCGTTGTCGTGGATTTATTTCACTTCGTACTGGACGCAAAAAGTGGGACATTTTGCTTGGTATTGGTGTCAGCTCAGTTTTGTGAAAACTTTGCCGAGATAGAGAATTGTGGAGAAAACTCAGAGAAAGCAATTTTGGTGTCGTAAGTCGACTCATGCACAGGCATAAATCGACTTATGGTAAGTCAACTTGTGTCTGTGCATGAGTCGACTTACGTTGTGCTCTGGAGTTGTTGGTTTCGCGCTCTGTAAAGTCGACTTATCAGGCCTGATAAGTCGACTTACGATTTGTTCTCCAGTTGTTGGTTTCACACTCTGTCAAGTCGACTTATCAGGCCTGATAAGTCGACTTACGACGGGTATTTTGCACATGTTGGTTTCCTGTTTGGATTATGTTTGGT